TTAAACTTGTCTGTTGTGAGAGCCACATATGATATGTTCCCTGCTCTGATAAAAGAAATACAGGACAAGCTTCTTCAAGGCCTCTGCCGGGTTTGCCAGACACCACCTCCCGCTGAACTTTACCAGAGAGCAAAGAATTGTAATCTGGGCAAAAGGAGGAGACAAAAGAAAATTTTGAAGTTGCTCTAGATCCTCGTATTCGAGGCAGTGGATTGCATCTGGCTATTTTAAGTTAATGGTAAAAATAGAAATTATAATAGTTTTAATACAATTAAGCATAGAGCTTCCCAAACCGTTGACTTTTTTAGAGGCAAGTTTGGGGACTTGAAATCACGTAATGAATATTTCTCAAGTCTAAAGTTGAAGAAATATCGTGTCTATTCCACACCGTTTGTTTATACCTCTAGCTCTTCATCGTCGGATTATTTTTGCCCCTTTACTTCCCAACTAAAAAGTCAGATTTCACAGATTGTTCTTAAAGTTATTTAAATAAGCTATGAGGGGGGAAAAAATTCATTTTTAGATACGTGTGATTTCGTGACTCTTCACCATGTTATTTAGTGAAGGAAAAGCCTAAGCGCCCCTAAATTATTGCTTGTCAGGTATCTTGTAATTTTTGGAAAAAGTGATTTTATGGACCCCGTCAAGAAAGAAGTTGCTGTTGTCTTTAAGTCTGGAAGCACTGCACTGCTCCCGTGTTGTTGAAGTCAATTTAGAATTGGCTTTGTGTCCTTGCAGGGTGCCTTAAGCATCTGTCTGCCTGCCCCGTCTCTAGAGAATAGCAAAGAATTCTGTTGTTACAATATATAGGAATGATTTTGGCAAGTGACACACACTGCCCATTAGTTGAGATGATAAACTCTAGTCACTGCCCTTTTTGATAGCTGTGGGGAAGCGAAGACTTTTCAATGCTCCTTTTAAAATAGTGGAACTCTTGTCTTAGAGAAGTCTGTGAACGTGTGTGTTCTTTTTTAAGTCTGTTGTTATTGACATGATTGCTATAAAACCGTAGTCAGTTCAGAATTATCCTTGAGCAGAGTATCACATTGCAACTGGCCCAATATTGCTTTCAAATTCTAATTGACATTTCCATATACTTAGAGCATTAAGTATGTTGTTGACATAAATAGAACCTTTACTTACTATCTAACTGGAACTAGAAAAAAGTTACTTTAACCTTGTAGAATATTGATTAGAACCAGAAAGTGTGCTATTTTCTTATCTTAGCAAGGGATCAACAAGAAAATTCCACTTGGAGTAGGAAGCAAAGAGGCAAAAATAGTTAACATTTTATAATATATATCCCAGTTTTTTCTTTGACATTCTGAGGTTATATATCCATGAAGAATTACAGAACCAAAAAGAATATTTAATTCAACTGATAGCCACTGTTAACTGTTCATGGATGCAAAGCCTTTATATTGTTAGGCTGCTAATACTCCCTAAGTTGATGTCCAATTCGAGTGATTCTTTTTTTTTTAAAGATTTTATTTATTTATTTGAGAGAGAGAGAAAATGAGAGATAGAAAGCACGAGAGGGAAGAGGGTCAGAGGGAGAAGCAGACTCCCTGCTGAGCAGGAAGCCCGATGCGGGACTCGATCCCGGGACTACAGGATCATGACCTGAGCCGAAGGCAGTCGCTTAACCAACTGAGCCACCCAGGCGCCCCAATTCGAGTGATTCTTACCAAAATCCAGCTGGCTTTCTTTTTTTTTTCTTGCAGAACTTGATGTTCTGATTCTAAAATTTGTATGAAAATGCAAGGGACTCAGAAGAGACAAAACAAACTTAGAAAAGAACAAATGTGGAGAATTTGCACTTCCTGATTTCAAAACTTAGTACAAAACTAAATACTCAACACTGGGTAGTAGTGGCATCAAGGATAAGTATGTAGATCAGTGGAATACAGTTGAGAGTCCAGAAATGAACCCTTACATTTTTGTTCAGTTGAGTTTTGATAAGGGTGTTAAGACAACTCATTGGGAAAGAATTGTCTTTATGACAAATGGTGAGTAATACTATGTACAAACACTAATTCAAAATAGTTATATGTCTAAATATAACAGCTAACCTTCTAAAGCATTTAGAAGAATTTAGGAGTAAATCTTTGTGACCATGTATTAGGCAATGTTTCTTTGATACAACACCAGAAAGCACTAACAACAAAAGAAAAAAAAATAAATTGAGCTTCATTAAAATTAAGAACTTTGTGCTTCAAAGGGCATGTGGAGAAATTTCAAGAAGTGTCTCCCACAGAAAGGGAGGAAATATTTGCAAATCATGTATCTAAAGAATCTGTATACTGAATATTTAAGGAACTCTTACAATTCAATAATAAAAAAAAATAATTAGATATTTCTTCAAAGAAGATCTGTAAGTATCCAGTAATCACATGAGAAGATATTCAGCATCATTAGTCATTAGAGAAATTCAAATCCTTAGTCACTGGGGATATGCAAAAAGAAAACCACTTCACACACACCATGATGGCTAAAATTTAAAAAAAGGAAAATTAAAAGTGCAATAGGTGAGGATTCAGAGAAATTCGTACCTTCATATATTGCTGATGGGAATGTAAAATTGTGCAACACTATGGAAATACTATAGCAGTTCCTCACAATGTTACACAAAGTTCCCGTATGGCCCAGCACCCCTACGTGGATCTCAAAGAGAAATGAAAACATAAATGCCCACAAGAACTTGTCCTTCTTAGCAGCATTTATCTCACAATTGAATATTATTTCAAATGTTTGTAGCAACATTATTTATAATCAGAAAAAGTGGAAAAAACCCAAGTGTCTGTCAAGTGATGAACAGGTAAACAAAATGTGGCCTGTCCATATGAGGGAATATTATTTAGTCCTGAAATGCATGAACTACTGATATATACTACAACATGAATGAGACTTGAGAACCTCGTATTCAGTGATAACAGCCACATATCTTGTGATTCCGTTTGTATAAAATGTCCATGATAAGTAAATTCTTAGAGACAAAAAGTAAATTAATGATTGCCGGCAGGGGTGTGGGGTTGGGCAGGCAGAATAGGAGTGATGGCTAATGGGTGGGGGGGGTCTCTTTTTGAGATTTTGAAATTGTTCTAAAATTAGTGCTGATGATTGCAAAATTCTGTAGATCAACTAAAATAGACTGAATTGTACTTTTTAAAAGGGTAAATTTAATGTTATGTGAATTATATCGTGATAAAATTTTTATAAGAAAAATAAAATAGTGGGTCTTAAAGCCCCAGTCATGCCTCTGATTGAAGTTGCTGCCCTGTTGACATCTTGATATGTTGCCACCTCCTGAGAGATTCTGCCCCAGAACTTGCCCGTCTAAGCCACTTATAAATATTTGACTCACAGAAACTCTGAGAGACAATAGGCTTTTTTAATCCATGTAATTTGGGGGTAATTTATTACACAGCATTAGGAAGCTAATACAATGCCATTCTGCTCATGCATTCATTAACATCCCCGCAATGAGCTCTGTGTGTTGGGTACTTAATAGAGGACTAGACATGCCCTTACCCTTCCTAGAACTCCCTCTTGTGTAAGAGAGACAGGGAAGAAGGTGCAAATGTTCTGACATGTGCACTAGTCATGAGCTCAAGTATTTTGTTAAATTACCTACCTAAGTATTTTTGTAAGCTGCCCGGCCCTGTACACTCTTTATGTGAATGAGACTATTTTAGTTTTTTCTCTGTAAGCATAGATCAAGTCCTTCATAATAGTAGGGATGTTTAAAAGCTTTCAAAGACATTCATCTTTTAAGATTTGGTGCCTTAAACTAAAACATACTCTTTGACCTTTTAGATCTTCTTCCCTTTCTTTATCCCCTCTGGAAGGGCGAAAACAAATTTTTTAAAAAAAGAAATCAAGTGTAGACCAAGTCCCTCACAAAAGCCAGAACCCCTATGTGAAATGTTGCTACTCTGTCTAAAAGTGAAATACATTTTTTAAATCATTTCACACTGACAAACTGCTTGAATTGTGAGTCCAGTGCCTTGTTTTCTTCAAGATATTAACCTAATTCCTTTATGCCCCACCTCTTAACTGATATATTGTCTTTTTTTGTTGTTGAAATAATGCTTTCAGATCCATGGATGCTCTGTTTACAGGTGTGGCGCTTGACAATGGGTCTTTTTCCATGTGGTTTGTCGACTTGGTGATACCTGAGTCCATGAGTAACACGGTTTATGACTTTGCTTCTGAAGAGTAGTATATCTGCAGAATCCCTCTGTTCCAGTGCAGTTCCAAAGCCTACCGGGAATCTGATGCCTGACAAATGAGATTCTAAATCAAGCCTGCTTTATGGAACCCATTCTATGTAACATCCAACTCAACGTGGCTGCTGTCTTGGAGTGCTTGCCTCCTCTGGCCCTCTTAGCTCTCTGTAGTGGAAGAGTGTTTACCATTTTAGAAATTAAATGGTTAATTGTAGTTTCCCTCTGCTGAAGATCATCCTCAGAATGAAAGTCTATGACAGAGTAAGACCTCCAGATTTCTTTTCCTGCCCTAGTCCTGTTACACTTTTGACAGGAGTGACCTTGCCAGGCAACTTTTTTTTTCATGGATTTTGCTTTCTTTATGTTTTTAGTGTCACCAGGGGGTGCAAGCAAGTACAGTACATTAAAGTTAATACATCACCACCTGTCAGTGGCACCTTCCGTTTGGTACCCCCTTTCCTTGCTGATTTAAAACACTCAGTCCCAAAAGCTTATGGTTGAGTAGCAGGAAGCTAAATGATGTATTCCAAAGCTCTTAACAAATTGCCTTGTGTAAATGGCCCATTTGAGTATTTCAGAAGCCAAACAGGAGAGAAGAGAACATTGAAAGCACTGAAAAGATTAACACCTGTTTCCAGTCTTCAAAGAAATTGGAGCATACTATATATATCGAGAGTAAAACCACTTGCTGTCTCACGTTGAGACATTTTATTCAAATTCTCAGTTCGATATGTATAGCATCCACATGCTTATGGGTTTGTTTGACTACAGGATTCCACACAGAACTTAGAAGATGGAGAAGTTATGAATGGTGTACAGACAGAGCCACTGACGTCGCCGAAAACCAAGGATGCATTGAGGTATTCTCTTTATGTGAATGAGACTATTTTAGTTATTACAGGATAATGTTTCTTTAATAGTTTGTAGTTGTTTTTATTTTATAGGGAAGGTCAGGATAGGTAGAAGAATGGAGTGAAACCTGTCCCAATTCTAAAATTAATTAGTCACTCTTTTATTTTCTTTTATGATAGAAGAACTTCCTGACAAACATATATAAATGAGCCTCCAAGTCTTTCAACTCTTCTGCAACCTGGATTTCTTAATTGCTTTTTTTTCTCTTTGAACAACAGTTTAAAGTGAATTTTCAGAGTTCACTGTGGTTGACTGTTCTACTTTGACATTAGCTCTTTGACTATTTCTCTGCATTCTGTTTTAACCATCTTGCAATATTTTACTCAATTTTTATAAAATGAATCCAGTCTATCACCTAGAATTTTTCATGGTTTTAATGTAAGTAACTCATTATATGAAGTCATTTGCTCTCGTTTTCCCCAATACTTACTTTGTTCTGCACTAATTTCCAGTTCTGCCTTAGCTACTACACAGGTTCCATTCCTAGTTTTGCTGCTTGCTAGTTCTATGAGCTTAGGTAAGTTATTCATCTCTCTTTGCCTTAGTTTCTGGTCTGTACAACAGAAATAATATGAAACCCTTCTTCAGAGGGTTGGTATGAAGATTAAATGAATTCATGTATGTAAAGCACTTCTAACAGTGCCTGGGCCAGAGTAAGTCATGGGGATGGTTGCTGCCATTGGCTACCGCTGTATTGTCCTCATCGAGATGATGGTGATGGTGATGATGATGATGATGATGATACCACCACCACCACCACCACCACTCTTACCATCGTTTTTTCTAAGTTGCTTCAAATTTTGCACTAGAAAAGTAATTCCATGTTTAATAGATTGTTGGCTTCAGCACTCAGAGGTGATGCTTCTAAGGTTGATGGTCATCCATTCATTCATTTACTCAACATATTCTTTTCATTCAGTCCAATTACTAACAGTTGCCAAACATTTTGCATAGAATTAGCTTTTTAAAAAAATATGTGATCATCGTTTACCGCATTGATTTACTGTGTGGACTTCCCTCACACAATTTACAGCCACATGACATAGGTGCTCTATTTAGATTCTATTGCTCTGATGAATGAGATGCACAATATTAAAAATTTGGTAAAGAAAATCTCCTGGGCACTGTTTTTTTAGAAGCTTGATAAGATTGTTTTTGGAGGTAGGCATAAGAACATAATACTCTTCTTCTGTTTGCCTTTAATTTCATTTTTTTCAGTGTTAGCTTTTTGAAAAGCTTGCTGGCATCTTGGCTAAATGTTCTGTGGATAGACGTCATTGAGTGAACCATTGTTTGATTTATGGCTACATGAACAAATGAACTAAACTTTCTCCGGATACAAAGAATTGAGAGGAATGGAGTATAGGAATTTAAAAAAAATCTTTAATTGAAATATATGTGTGTACATGTATAATTTTTGCAAGAGTTTTACCATCACATTTAATAGGCTAATAAATTGCAATTCAGAGCAATTAAGTAACTTGTAGAGACCCAATCTGGATCCACTACTCTTGTCTCCAAATACTCGACTCCAGTGTTATCTGTTGTGTACACCTTCCCTTATTCTTTGGTATTTTATTTCATGCTAAGGAACTTCATGTGGTGAGCACCAGTTTGGAGAAATCAGCTGAAATCAGGTTGAGGCCAAGTTCAGAAAGTAGAATAAGTGCATACTCCCAGCACTTGCAGGCTCTTGGGTACTGGGGGAAGAGAAGGATCTTAAGAGCGTAGTAGCAATGCACAGCTAGCAGCAGGAAGCTTGGCGATTCCAGTTCCAGGAAAAGAAATGGGTTCTAGCTGGCCTGGGGTAATGAAGAAACCAAGGAAGAGAAATTAGGAAGCCGCTTAGGGCTGAGTTAACGTGGTCATCATTCTCCTGGGGCAGGGAAGTCATGCTCTCCCACAGAGCTTGGCCCAAGAATATGACTTTGGGCTCACTTTGATGTAGGTGGCATAGAAGCTCAGCACATTATTTGCAGAGTCCATCTCAAAATGTTTTGAACCTATTCCTATATTTTAATCCCCACAGTCATTTTTCAAGCCTTCATTACTTCTCAGACTATTATAGTAACCTACTGTCTCTTCTCTTGAATATCAATCTCTTTATCCTAATTGATCTCATGTATCGCTGCTAGGTAAAAATTTCTTAAACCACAGCATTCAACAAACCATTCTTTCATTCCAATTGAATTTTGTTAAACCCTGGGTTTGAACACTACCTATGTAACTGTAGACTAATTATTTTACCTCTTTAATTTTTTTAATATGGAAAATGGGTATCATGATCACACAGATTATTGTGAAGATTAAATGAGATTTATCACAGGCAGTTGCACTTAGCACAATACTAAATGAATGGTTGGATAAATATTAGTTGCTACTGCAGTTATGATTAGCACACATACCACAGTTTATTGTAACTATCATTCTCCCATATAAGACTATGAATCCTCCAAAGGATTCCTGACACGTCATACAGATATACCAGCAGCATATTTGTTCAGTGAATGGTTAAAACACATTGCTCCATAAATCATAAGCATACCTATTAGCTGCTTACCCAGTATTAACACATTTTTATTTAAAGAAAAATAACCATAAGAGGAGGTTCTCCAAATAGTCTTACAATATGTATCTCTTATGAAGCACTACTCAATTTACCTTGATCTTAAGATGATGAAGCAAAAGGTTTCCATTGGGTGTTTTTGTTTTTTTTTTTAACTACGCTTTAAGCTTCTCTTCTTTCTTCCTTCCTTCCTTTCTCCCTCCCTCCCTTCCTCTCCCCCCCTTTCTTTCTTTCTTTCTTTCTTGAAGGTGGGGGCAAAGAGAGGGGTAGAGGGAGAGGGATAATCTTAAGCAGGCTCCGCTCCCAGCATGGAGCCCCATGCGGGGCTTGATCTCACACCCCTGAGATCATGACTTAAGCTGAAATCAAGAGTTGGACGCTTAACTGTCTGAGCCAGGCAGGTGCTCTACAGCTTCTGTTTCAACAGCAAGCAATACAGGCAAAAGACCTTCACCTCATCCCTAAGTTCAACTTCATTCCTGACCTCAGCCTATTCCTTGACACATCTCCAAATTAGCCTTCTCCCCATACTTACCTCTTCTCCCATGCTTAAAATGGCCATCAAGTTTTATTCTTTTTTGCCTCTGATATCCATTCATTTGGCAAACTATTGGGAGAGTCCATGTCAAAAAAAAAAAAAAATCCCTTAAACCTTTCCCCAGGTATTCATGCTTTATTCCTGTAATTATTGCTAAAGCCTTATTACCTCTCCAATTATTGCAATAATTTACTAATTCCTGTCTCAGGGACCAATCTCTATCTTGTCTTACTCTTTTCTAATCGATCCCACATATCACTGCCAGATAAATATTTCTAAACCACAGCATTTATCACCCCACTCCTTAGTGCCAACACCTTTAATGACTCCATTTTCTACAAAACTAAGTGCTTCTTTTTTTTTCAGCGTGGAATTTGACGTATCACTCTGAGATTTGATCTCAAGCTGATGGTTCAACCTTCTCTTCGCAATACCTCCCCGTCTTTTCCTTCCTTTCTCCCTGCTCACTAGCCTCTTTCTTTAATATCACAGCCAGTCTGTGTGCCCACAAACCATCCTGGTTCAGTGTCTCCCAGTGCAGACTGTGTTCTTTCATCTGCTTGCCCCCTCTGTCCCCTCTCCTACTATTTCTGATTGAAGATCCATTTGCTGTTCTTTTTTTTTTAAGATTTTATTTATTTATTTGACAGAGAGACAGAGAGAGAGGGAACACAAGCAGGGGGAGTGGGAGAGGGAGAAGCAGGCTTCCCACTGAACAGGGAGCCCAATGCCAGGCTCGATCCCAGGACCCTGGGATCATGACCTGAGCTGAAGGCAGACGCTTAGCGACTGAGCCACCCAGGCGCCCCTCCATTTGCCCTTCTCATTTCCATCTAAAATCCTCCTTCAGGAAGATTTTCCTGATCCCAGGTTTCCTTCCTGATCCTGTACTGATTTCTTCTGAGCCTCATCAGGAAGTGCCTCTACTTTGAAACTCATGTGAAAGTAGCTTAAAACTCCTGCTCTAGAATACAATAAATTCCAATGTGGGTCCTGACCTTACCTTGTAGAAATGGTGTGAGGTTTGGCGATTTATTTCACCTTCCTAAGTATCAGTTTACTTATCCATAAAATGGGTCTGATATGTTTACTTTATACTTCTGGTAAGAATACATGGTATAATGCTAGAAGGCCATTAACACACTGCCTCCCAAATAATAGCTTATAATCATTGAAAATATACTACGATTACTACTACCATCCCGTTGCTTTGTATTATTCCCTGTTACCTGTCTTAACCTCCCCCCTAGATGGAGAACTCCTCAGACACTGGCCTCTGTGTTTTCCTTGTAGAACTTCCTCATTGGAACTACTCAATTAATATACATTGAATTCAGGTGTATTAAATGAATCCCACCACCATCAATAACAAGTTTTTTGTTAGGTTTTTACTCAGTATATTTGCATCAACAAGACCTCACGATCAAGCATACTTCCATGCCATCAATAAACTCTTCTGGGAGGTCTCTAGTCAGTCCATCTCTCACACCGTTCCATATGACAGACTTGGGCATTAGTGCCTGAACACCCCCAACTAAAACCTTCTCTCCATTTATTACCCATCAGCTTCTCTATGGCAGCCGTCTAATCGTGAAGAAAACATGTTCCTCAACCCTACAGGACTTGAGGATATTTTTAAAAGTCTCACTGAGGAAATCAGTTGAGAAAAAAATGCAAAGTTTGAGATAATTTCCTTTTAATCCATAAACTTTCCCTCATAAAGTTCTAATAATCCTCCTAATAGCTGATAGTTATTGAACCTCTTGTATACACCAGATATTGGATGTATGATGTACATGTTATGTCCTCTAATTGTTTTTAAACCAACAGTTCTATTAGGAATTTATCTTAATTTCCCCATTGTCCAAATAAGGAAACTAATACTTTTGGTCTTCATTTAAATGATTACTCAGAGGGTGCCTGGGTGGCTCAGTTGGTTAAGCCACTGCCTTCGGCTCAGGTCATGATCCTGGAGTCCCGGGATCGAGTCCCGCATCAGGCTCCCTGCTCGGCGGGGGGTCTGCTTCTCCCTCGGACCCTCTTCCCTCTCGTGCTCTCTATCTCTCAATCTCTCTCTCAAACAAATAAATAAAATCTTTAAATGATTACTCAGATATCTGACTCAAAGGCACCACTAAGATACACTGTTTCTCTAATTTCATAAGTTAATCATGATTTTCTTCTGAAACAAGAGATGTCCCCCACCAACCTGCCCTGAGTCCTCTCTTACCCTAAATGAGTAGCTTGTGACTGAGCTTAATAATCTCAATGTTAAAAATGCTGTCCATTTGCCTCGTGTGAGGAATTGGACCTGCAGCTGTCTGCAGCTCTTATATTCTGTCCCTCAGGCTTCATGTGTTTCTTCTGGACGGAGCCAAATGAAGCACTTGGTCATGGAGTTCCTGCAGAGTAGCTGTTCATGACAAGCTCACTTTGAACCTTTTATTCCGTACCTTCACCCCGAGTTTTGTCCTAAAATCTTAGATAGGTAGCAGCTGGTCCCAGGAATTATTTGAATCAGTGTTGTCAGTTGGATCTTAGGACATTCAGCTTGATTAGTACTGTTGGACCTGATGTTCTGTGACTGTCCGCTTTGGTTTTCCCGTTGTATAAAGTCAGCTGTTTTGATCTTAGTGACACTTTCAGCTTTTCTTTGTATAATTAAAGTATTTTCCCTTTACCCCACATTTCACTTTTTGTTTTTTACAAGTAGCTGCCGATCTCTTTTTCTTTCCACTGCTAGAATATCCTCTCCACCTGCTTCTTTAAATTTTCCATTCTCAGCCTGCCTCCAAAACATAAATTAATGTGTACATAGCCTGCTCACTGGTCGCTGAAACTTACTCTGCACTTGGACTAAACAAATGGCATTAATAGTGTATCTCCACATCTTAGTAAAATCTCATTTTATAAGTATTCAAATAATTGTGTCCAATACTACTTGTTGTATTTATCTTTCATGAAGGGTATATATATATATATATATATATATATATATATATACACACACACACAGAGATTTCTACAGAATTCCATCAGGTATATGGAATGCAAAGGTTCTCCCCCCTCCTTTTAAAATAAGTAAAAATATACAGTCTATGAGGTTTCCTTTTTCAAAAGCTTTTCTTTCCGTCTTGAAATAATAACATTTTATAAAGAACATAGTAAAACATAGCCTGTATAAAACTTGTACTATTTGGGGGCGCCTGGGTGGCTCAGTCGTTAAGCATCTGCCTTCAGCTCAGGTCATGATCTCAGGGTCATGGGATCGAGCCCCGCATCGAGCTCCCTGCTCCGTGGGAGGCCTGCTTCTCCCTCTCCCACTCCCCCCTGCTTGTGTTCCTTCTCTCACTGTATCTCTCTCTGTCAAATAAATAAATAAAATCTTTATAAAGAAAAATTTTGTAATGTTTGTCTATATTAAATAGATTTAATTCTCTATAACTGCCTACATATTACAGTCTACAAAATCAAAAATCTTTTATGCTTTTTTTCTGGGATAATATTTGTATGATAGTAATTTAGCATTTGTCACATGTCTTTCTAGCCAAAGAATTGTGACTGCCATGTATATAGATAGCATAAGAGTTTATTCTTTTTTTTAATTTTATTTTACTATGTTATGTTAGTCACCATACATTACAGCATTAGTTTTTGATGTAGTGTTCCATGATTCATTGTTTGCGTATAACACCCAGTGCTCCATTCAATATGTGCCCTCCTTAGTACCCACCACTGGGCTAACCCATCCTTTAAAACCCTCACTTTGTTTCTCAGAGTCCATAGTCTCTCATGGTTCGTCTCCCCCTCTGATTTACCCCCCTTCATTTTTCCCTTTCTACTATCTTCTTCTTCTTCTTTTTTTTTTTACCATATAATATATTATTTGTTTCAGAGGTACAGGTATGTGATTCATCAGTCTTACACAATTCACAGCGCTCACCATAGCACATACCCTCCCCAATGTCCATCACCCAGCCAACCCATCCCTCCCCACCACCACTCCAGCAACCCTCAGTTTGTTTCCTGATATTAAGAATTCCTCATATCAGTGAGATCATATGATACTTGTCTTTCTCTGATTGACTTATTCATAGTTTATTCTGAGGTCTCGAAAAAGAGAATCTTATAAAGTATAAATGAACCTTTAAATTGCATCCCCAATAAAGGTCATAGTGTTTTTAAACAAGATCGATTGCTTTAACAAATTATAAGATTTACTTTATTAAGTGAGTGTAAAAATAAAAGATTGAGAGTTCCTAAAGAGTATGTATCTGTGTAATACATAGAATTTATTATGTTTTACAGGAAAGGTTTTGAGTTGGGTAACGAAATATTTGCAAAGTAGACAAAAAAAGATTCCATAAAACCATCCTAAAAATTCTTAAGCTGAAATCTTGAACTCTATACTAAACACTTATATTCCAAAATCCTCTGTGTAATACATATGAGTGCTATCTATCAGCATGTGGATATTTAATACATTTATTAGGAAAGATTTGTGTTATGCTCTAAGTGTAAAACTATAAAAATACATTGTAAAGGTAGAGATAACAAAGTTTTAATGATTAAACAAGATTTTCATCTTTGTTTTTAAAAGTCTTTAAAACAGTACTGTAACCCTAGAATGTAATGCTCTGGGTTTAGTCTTTCTCAAACAGCTACGAATGCACTATAAATCTGTTATTATATAAAAATTATTGCTTTGTGGTCCATTAAGAGTATAAAACTTTCTCCGCCCATCAGACGGTTTATATTCAGGATGTATAATGCATACCTATATATAATATTTCATATGTATATATTCATATAATATCTGTATTCCCACACAGAAAGTGTCGAGAAGAATCTATTTTATCCCGTGATATTATCACTCTAAGATTTGTTTTATTTCTGACTTTTACCCCAGGCCTCTGATATAACCTGCTTGACTGAACAAGTTTTAAATATATCAGCAATATCTGAGCAAAACTCATTTGAAATTTATTATCAGATTTGAAATTCCATCATAGTCTACAAATGTTAGAAACTGACATGCTCTTTTTTACAGTTCTTAATGATAATAAATTTGCAATGAAAACACATTAAAAATAAGCCCAGTCCACTGATGAGAATGTATTTGATGTATTTGTCTTAGATTGCTGATAATTCAGAGAATACTACACGCAGAGTGAATTCATCAGGCATTTTGCTTTCTTACGCTGTTCTCAACTTTCTAGCAAGGAGCCAAAATTTCACCGTTTTCAATTTGGAACAGAAAAGCATTTGTAGCAGCTGTAGTTCTTAATTTGACATCTAGTTTCAGGTCATTTTCATGTAAATAGGAAACAATAGAGACCTGCTTACAATTTCCATAACAGGGATGCTTGCTTCAACTTTATCATTTTTCCTCTGGCAATTTTATTTTCTCTCTGTGGGATTAAAGGAGCCAGTAATTGTTCATGGTTATTATTTTTCATCTTTATAAAAACTTGTTAGTTCCACTCTTTATTACTCAAAGTTTCCCACTATCTTGTATATTTCAGTCATACACACTATCCATTAATGTTTCTAGCTCATCCTTTCCTTAATCTGGAGTAGGTTAGGCGGGTCAGGCTTTCTATTTCTTTCTGTAATACGTTTTCTCCAGGCTTTACAACTTCTTTTTCTACCTCTAAAAAAAAAGAGGAGGTGAAAATTTAGAATTGTTTCATTGTATACAACCGATGCTTTATTGAAAGGCAAGTCTGAGTTCTGATTTTTAATGCTCCAAACATGCCCATATGTATTACCAACTGGGGCTTCACTGTTGTAAAATATAATTCTGTGCTTTTTCTGATAAATACATATTTTATTTCAATTTTCCTGTTCTGAGTGGGGGGAAGCCTACTTTATGCTTAAGCATAGTTAAGCTTAGTTCCATGTATTTTATCATCTGCACAGTAATTGTCAAGTGTGTCTCAATGGGGAGAAATTTCATTTTTGTGTATATCCTTTTAAATATGTTGATTTATGCAGATTAAGTTAAGTAGGAAGTTATTTTTGTGGGTCGTTATTTCCATTTGTTTCCCTTCTGGGGGAAAAAAAAATAAGAAATCAGTCTTTTAAACATTTTATTTCCTGGATCTTGTGAACATACCAGCAAATCATGTACTCATTTGATTTCATCTCTGCCGTTGAATTTACAGCAGTTGATATAATCTTAGGGTTTTTTTTTTTTTTTAATGTGCTGCCTTTTTTTTTTTTTTTTTTTAAGCAGAGACTTATCTGTGCTCTTACTTTTTTCTGCCCCAGTGATATGACAAGAACAGTGGAGATTTCTGGGGAAGGAGGCCCCTTGGGAATACATGTAGTGCCCTTCTTTTCATCTCTGAGTGGAAGGTAAGATGTTTTCTTTATATCAGAAGCTCATGCTAATGAAAAACTTGACTTCAGCTCATTTTCCCAAACATATTCAGGAGAGGATTAAATGTGTGTCTCTGTTTTTCAGACAGACACCTCAGTATATACTTCTGTTGTCCACTTAAGTGTTAGAAACAAAGTCATTTACTTCTAAGATATAGTGGAAAAGCAAAAGTATCAATCACAATTTCTGCATTTATAATTAATTATGAAGTATTGTCATTTTTTAAAAAAGATTTGAGAGAGAGAGAACAAGCAGGGGAGGGAAAGTAGGAGAAGGAGCAGGAGGAAGCAGATTCCCCATTGAGTGGGGAGCCAGACATGGCGCTCGATCTCATGACCCTGAGGTCATGAGCTGAGCCGACATCGAGTTGGAGACTTAACTGACTGAGCCACCCAGGCGCCCCTGAAGTATCTTCTTAAAGTGTTCTTGTCAGTGACATGTAGTAAACAGAATCCTTGAGAAGGGTTTTAACATACTGTTAGACAAATATTACAACAGAATCTTTTAATGTTCCAAAATACACTTCAAAAAGTGAATATAGTAATCCAAATTGGTATTTCCTGACTCTGCTCAGGTATATGGAACTTAGGATAATAAATATTCTAGCGCTGTAAGTAGCTTTATCAGAAGCTATATGTTTTCATGATTTTAACTATAATAGTAAAATACCATTGTGCTTTTTTTCTAAAATAAAAGGTAATCAATTAAAAACAGTATGCCACCTCCTTTTGAAATTTTAAAGACATTGCTAAATCCACAGTGACAAATGGTAATTTAGATGTCAGCATTTCTTGAAATTCATGTCCACCTAACTGGATATAAAAGTTGTTTTACTGTTGGAAATTAAAGTTTGTGCCTGGGAGTTAATATTAGTACTATTATAACAACTTTACAAAACTAGTATTAGATATTGTGTCACTGTTCAGTAAGATGACTGCCTTCAGCATTAGATTGATACTGACAAGGGCTATCTGAAAAGGGCTTTTCTTAAAATCAGTTTCTCACTCATGATATGATTTTAATTAATTTGCTAACTTTATTTTTCTTATATTAAGTGCATCACTGAAAATTTCAGGCAGAATACCTTATTTTAGCTTAAGAGAGCAAAGTCCAGAAAAGCCCATTGATTTTTTTTTTAAGGTCACACAAAATCCAGATCCAATCCCCCTTACTCCATTGCTCTTTCTAGAGCAAAAATTTCCCAAAGGTTATATAGTATTAACTTACTGGTTCAGAATGTTTATTCAATTCAGTCTGCCACATAGCGGGGAGAGCAGATTTAGTCATGATATTTTGGTTGGCATCATTTTCAGCAGGTAGCCACCTGCTACCTGTAATTGCAAAGTCATCACCTTTTTTTGCAAATAACATCTGATGCCAAGCTCTTGCTGGAATGAATGTTCTCTAAAAAGAAATGAACTGAAAAGCCAGTGGCTCTTATTGTTTCATTTCCTGTATGTGTTAATAAGCGTGTTTATAAATGTTATGGGTTATGTCCCGGGACAAGCTGAGGTTGTTTTTGATAGACAGGAAGAGTATTTACCCAGTTGTCATGAGAAATTCTAATGGCTTTTAGCAGAAGTGTACTGATAGAGCTTTGTGAAATACCAGAGCGGTTACATTACCAGGCCCTTTAGTTTAATGAAGCCAGAATAGAACACAAGATCATCCCAATTTCCAAAACATGAAGAAATGTACAATGTGACAGTCACCATACTTCACTTTCAATAGATTGGAAAACTAGTTGACCCTGTAGACCAGAAAGCACCTTCTCTTACGTCAAATGACAGAAACACACTAAAATATATTGATTTCTTCCCTTCTCCTTCCTGGCTCTGATTTCTAGCATAAGCCTTGAAGAATAGAAAAAATGTTAGACTTGGATTCAGAACAATTGGATTTGAATCTCAGTGTTCTCTTTTATAACGTTGAGCACGTCCCCTAAACTTGCCTCTTGTGAATACCTACTTCACATCAAGTTTGTAGGGATTAAATGACATTAAAAATGTGAAAACTCCTTGTAAAGCACACAACGTATGAATGTGTAAATTTTCAGTATTATTAATATTATGGCTAAAACAAAAAAGCCTGGTTCAGAAATGAACTTTTATAAGTTCATGGTCAGCTGTTCAGTAACGTGATGAAATAGTTGTATAATTTTTTTTGCTCTCCATTAGTATTATAGAAAGGAAATTTAATTAAAAAACATAAAAATAATATGGAAGTGGAGACATGAGCCAATAAAAGTTAAGAAGTAATGAGTACAGGCTGAAACAGCACACTTAACTCAACCCATGTGTTTAGATGCAACTGAGTATAGAGCATGTCAGACAAGTGTCTGACTTCATAACACCATATGGTTTCAGTGTGTGAGCACAGGGGCTTGGGGGGGTGAGTTAAGGTCATAGTGGTATACTTAGTTCTTAATTTCCTTCCATTTATTGGTGTCATTATTTTAAATTAGAATTTACATTTAATTCTTTACTAAGACTACTGTAATTGACTTTGCCTCCAATTTATATATATGTATACACACACATATGTATATATATATGGTTTTTTTTAGAGAAATACTGCCACACCTGTTGTTGAATAGGAGATGTAATCTCAGAACGCCCTGAGTACAATATAGTGGCTGCTGTACTGGTTAAGGCTTCAGTAGATTCATTAGGTACGACAGCATAGGGTGTTAAATGCCACTTGTATGGAGGCCCCTTGGCTTGTACATAAGAAACAAAACAAATATACAAAAAAATTGAGTTCCTGCAAGTAAAAAGCAATTTTATTTCATTGACTTTAAAAAAAAAATTAAGGTACTTTTGTTTTAGAATTAAAAGCATGAAATCTAACTGTTTTTCAATAAAGATAGCATAATATACCTTAGTTTCCTAGTAAAGACAGCTAAATATGACAGAGAAGAAGGAAGGGATGGGTGAGGAATGACACGTAATGTAAGGAGAGGCGATGTTTAGATAAAAATGCAAAGCTGGTAGAATGGCCAAGGCCTGTGATGGGAGAGCAGAAGGGGGGAGGAGTGGGTGGGTTAGTGTCTACATGATTATTAGAAGAAAAAGAAGCAATTCTGTGGGGCAGTGGGTTTCAGCCTCTCTTATCACTGCTCATTAATGCAAATTAACTGGTTCCTCTGAGCCTATAATTCCTCAACAACATTAATCTTTAACTCCTAGGGCCTTGGTCCCAGACGAGACCACTACCACAGCCCACCAGTTTGTGGCAGAGAGGAAAATGAGAGATTCTTTTCTGAGTCTTCTCATACTGGTCTGGATGAAATCAAACTGGAGGAAATCCATCCCTCTTTATGGAATAGAGAAGGCAGGAGTGGTTGTTGCCAGGGACCAAACTAATAAAATCAGTCAGTTTTACATTTTACCAAAATTACCTCTGACACACGGGTTTTACAGTTGAGCTTATTCTGTCAATAAATTTTTCATGGAAAGTTAGGTTATTTAGATCAGTGAGGTTCACATAGCATACTCCAGCTGTAATATGCCAGCTAAATTGCAACCCAGTGGCCTGAAAGAATTAATTCATCTCCCAAAATGTGAAATTAAATCCTAGGGAGTAACATTACATGACTGATGATGTACTGAATTAAATTAAAGGAAGACTTGAATGCTTGTTAAAAAAATATCACTTACATAAACTAGTTTATAACCACATGTGAGCCTCCTAATGGATCATATTATTGTGAATCCAGCATGACAAAAAAACCCAAAATGTGAACTATTAGAGAGTTGTTTAATTTAGGAAAGAAACACTATTTTGTTCTATTTCTTCTTCTTTCTCATCTTCTTCTTCTTTTGCATGTCCAATAGCTCAATTTTTAATATTATGTTATGAGATTAAGGTAGGATTAGTATTTCAAAAATATTAATTTGAATCTCAGATCCTTTATCAAATAGTAGCTTTGGCCCCTTTTCTCTTCCACGCAGAATGTGATCAATTTACTAACCTCTTATAGGCAAGGCAGCCGAACACTGCCCCACACGCTCGTGCCTCTGACCTTGAGCCTTCCCTACCACAGGGGGCGTGACTCACTCTCCTCTGCATCAGCACACTGTATTCATCGGAGCAGAGACCTGAAGACCACCGCAGATGCCCCTCCTCTTGCCATCTTCTGATGACAGGGGCTCATTAAATGAACAGGGGCCCTGGAGGCAGAGGCCCTCCTGTGTGGCTGCTCCAGACAGGAAGATGGTTTTCTCCTCCACTTTCTTTAGCGACGGCCCTCTCTGCCTGGCTGACCGTGTAATTCACCTGTAAAATGCTCTCATATTTTATTCAGATCGGAGATTTAATATGAAGGGGCTGTGTGATAGTGTAGGAGGCCCGTATGTAAAAAAGAATGACAAAGCAGAAAAATAAGAGGCTGAGGGGCAAGGGGTGGCTGTATCTCCCACGCCCAGCAGATTCCTCTTGGAGGACATATCTGTCTGTCTTATTCCGGGGGCATAGCTAGGACCCCTGACAAGCCACAAGAAGAAGGGAAATCTCTCATATGAGAAATAGCTAAAATATATACAAGTTTGGGTGCACCTCGGTGGCTCAGTGAGTTAAGCGTCTGCCTTTGGCTCAGATCATGATCCCAGGACCCTCAACTCCCTCTCTCCTGACTCTCAGTGGCAGCCACAAAGCACCAGGAGCCTCCAGCTGTCGTCTCTGAATCTTGAGTCTTACTGGTTGAAATTGCAGACAGGTCTTCCCCATGCCCTGCCCCCATCATGTCTCTGTCTCCCTCAGAAGCAGTGAGTGGTGGGTGTGCTGCTCTAGTCTGATTAGATAAAGTCCAGCAACTCATGTTCAAGGCCCCTCTGCATGGCTCTGGCTACCCCAGCCAGTGTGAGGTCCCCACACAAACACGCAGGGTTCAGCCTGCCCCCGTGTATACTCTCTCTCTCCTCCTATCCAAATCCCACTCATTCTTTGGATCCAGTGTACATCCCACTTTCTCCCCAGATCTCCCATTCCTCCCTCCTGAGCATTGGAAATGCCCCACATGTACTTGATTCAGGGACACTAACTAAATGGGACAGAGCTGCCTTTTAAACTGAGCGATATGATCTGTGCTTAAGTATTTGCTTCTTAAAATGCAAATTACTGGAACAGGTAGTAGGATTGCAAAAAACTCTGGTGAGTGTCTACTCCTCTTCCATCATTAAGCTTCAAGTTGTCTCGGCACCCACTCAAACCTATTACAGTCAGCCTGACACCCTTCTCCAAATCAGACACCTCTGTGTCCTCAACTCCATTGAGCTGTGGTGGCCTTTTCCAAGAATACTGCAGGCATGGCAATGGAGGCCTGGCTCAGTGTACTTTGGGTCGGTGTTTATGTGTGTCTGTCTTGAAGGTCTTTTTCTCTTTCACTGGATTTTTTTTTTTCCTAAGGATTTAAACAACGAACAGTTGCCTGAATATAAAGCATAATTTCTTTCATAAATAGAAACCAATACTTATTTCTGAATAGTTGCGAGTAGAGAAAAAATTAGCATATTATTATTCAGTAATTCTGTTTCAACCTAAATTTTGCATTTAGGATTCTAGGACTCTTCATCCGCGGCATTGAAGAAAATAGCAGGTCCAAGCGGGAGGGACTATTTCATGAAAATGAATGTATTGTAAAAATCAACAACGTGGACCTTGTAGACAAAACCTTTGCTCAGTAAGCATTTTTTTTCTTTGTTTTATTTACTGTATTGATTCCTGGCATACTTATAATCATTACTAAGCTCTTGATGATCAAAATTGTTGTTAGAATATCTGGTCAGTCACCTTTGAATGACCCCAGGACATCCATTTTCAAAGGCATCTTAGGTGTTAGCATCCGCAAAGGTGGCCTGCACATGTCCCTGGCAACCCCAAGAATAGGAAACTGAAGAATACAGTAAGCCTTCCCGCCTGGTTGTCTGTTTGGATCATCCATAGATGGGTTTGTTTTGCTTGGGCTGTGGGTCAGTTAGACTGGTATTTAACGACTCTTTTCACAGTCTGTTAGTTCAGCATATTAATTAACTAGCTTTGTGTCAGCAGTCTTCCTTAAACTAAATGTCTGTGAGAGATGTCTGTGAGGACTCACTGAGTAATAGAAACAAATAAAAAAAATTAAAATATTCTCCCTCAAGTAATCATTTTTCTGCATGTGCAAATGTTATGGGAGTAGGTTCTTATAGCTAAGAATTAGAGTATGCAGCAGTCTGATGCATATTTTTTTAAATGTATGTTGGCATTGCAGTGGGGCTCTAGAACAAGGGAATCAATGCTAATTAAGACTCCTTAGTAATGACCACAGCTTCTCTTGTTTCTGACCCAACAAGGCATCGTATATATTCTCTGTAACCATTCTCTGTCGATATTTGTAAGTTTGGTTTTTGGGGGGTGTGGGGGGGAGGGTGAATGGTTGTGGGTGAGAAGGGCTGTGGGCACTGGCTGCTTAAGTGTGGAAAGAAATGAAAACTGAAAAGTCTATTTCTTCAAATAATAATACCACTGTACTTTTTACAAGGATTTGATAGGTATGCAAGGTAGAAACTGAGGCTCATACAAATTCAGTTTGAAGGCAGTATGGAGTAGAAACTGACTCCCAGGGGCGCCTGGGGGGCTCAGTCGGTTAAGCAGCTGCCTTCGGCTCAGGTCATGATCCCAGGGTCCTGGGGATTGAACCCCGCATCGGGCTCCTTGCTCAGCAGAGTTCCTGCTTCTCTCTCTCCCTCTGCCTGCCTCTCTGCCTCCTTGTGCTCTCTATTTCTCTGTCAAGTAAATAAATAAAATCTTTAAAAAAAGAAGAAGAAACTGACTCCCAGTCAGGGGACTGACCAGAGGAGTTGGACTGCCTCTGTGGGATCTTCTTGCCCTTCCCCTACCAACATGGAGAGTAAGCAGTTCATTCAGTAAAGTTAGGGGCGGGGCGGGGCAGATAGTTGTTGGAATTATGATTCGTTATTATTTGATGTGGCTGCTACTGACAGAGACCTAAAATAAAGGTACCTTAAACAAGATTAATATTTTCCCCCCTAAGGACAAATAAGTGTGGAGGTGGCAGTCCCGAGGTGGTGTGGCAGCTCCGCAAAAGCATCAGCAAACGGGGCGTCTTCCCTCTTTCCCTCTTTCCATCCCTACTAAGTGGCTACTCTCTTTAAGTTGTGTCATGGTCACCAGATAGCTGCTGGGGTTCTGAGTTTGGAGAAATGGGAGATGGAAGAACTTTCTGGCTCCCAGCTTTCCTGTAGCCCTTCTATGTAAATCTCATTGGCAGGAAAGGCTGGGAAAGGTAGTGGTTTTCCATAGTCATGAGGGGTAAGGATGGAGAGAAATGATAGTAGGAAATCTGAGGAAAAAGACCAAGTGCTAAGACAAAAAAGTAAAAAATACAGGTACTCTATAATAGAATAAAGGGAGGGTATATATTGGATTGATAATTCACTATGACATTGGGCACAGCCAATACACCAAATATCATCAGGAGGAAATGTTGGTGTCAGAATTGAAATGCTGGAATACAACGCATTTTAGAGAGGGCCTGTACTTTAGAACAAAGCCCTAAAAGGGAACTAACTAATATTCTGATCAACACTACAAAAGGATTTTTTCCATCCAAAATTAATGTTTGCTTTTATACTTAACTTCAGTAATGGCTTCTGGATGGATTTTCAGATTTAGAAATACTTAAAAAACTGTGGGTCATTGGAAGAGTTAGCTAATCACTCTGAGCCTCAGTTTCCTCGTTTCACAAAAGAAGAGTGAATTGTCCTGACCTAAAACGAAATGAGAAGATTGAGGAAGTTGTTAAAAAGATTCAAGGAGAGAATTGTGCGAGTTACTAATGCATGTGGAGCCCAGTGTCAGGGCGCCTGGTGGGCAAGTCATAAGTGGTAATTAGTATCTAGTTTGCAGTCATCCTGGTGGTAACAGTGACAGTTTTCCCGATGCTTCTGCTACTGTGCTGTTCCTGTTGCCACGATGCGGGGCGCTTTAGTGGCGTGCTAGAACGTGTTATTGTTACATATTTACTAACTCTCTTTGAAGGGCTCAAGATGTCTTCCGTCAGGCGATGAAATCTCCCAGTGTGCTCCTCCATGTGCTTCCACCTCAAAACCGTGAACAGTATGAAAAATCAGTCATTGGACCACTTAACATTTTTGGTAACAACGATGGCATTTTGAGAACAAAGCTGCCGCCTCCTGTGCACGGAATATCAGGAATAAAAACCATAAATCTCACAGGAACAGGTAGTCCTGAAGAGGATGCATTGACCTCTCTGCAACAAAGCAAGAGCCCCCGGGTACCAAGACTGGGTAGAAAGCCATCCTCTCCCTCACTCTCCCCTCTCATGGGGTTTGGCAGCAAGAAGAATGCAAAGAAAATTAAGATTGACCTAAAGAAAGGTAATTATTAAATTATGCTTAATAGCATTCTATTATTGTAACATGTAAAATTGGTTAAGAGAAACACATTAAGGCTAATTTCGTTAATTCTCCCTTCACTTAATTGTATCAAAGAATAGATTTAAGTAGGTAACTTAACTCTCTTGAAATTGTACTGCTTTCTTATTCTTTTCTTCTGGAGAGTATAGATTATTTGAAACAAAAAAAAATGATAAAGACATGTTGGGAAATGGAAAGAACCGTTACAAACTTGAGAGAAACACAGTACTAAAGAAGCACCGAAGTTCATTTGAACCCTATTTTGAGCAAAATTAGTGATTTTTGTAGCACCCTTAGGTCAAGTCTAAAAAGCACATATTTGTTTCTAGTTCTCTAAGCCAGTTTTAAACCGGCAAAACATTTAGTCCTCAAAAAGCAAACATGTGATAATTATAATTGATAATTATTATATATAATTATATAATTGAAATTTCACTAATTCAACATTGCAAGCAGTTTTTCAAAACATACTTAATTGCAAAAGCATGTATAACCTTGTCTTCATCTTTTCCAATTTTCTATACACTTCAAACCCAGATCAATGAGACTAGGACATGTGTGTACATGCATATTTATGCAATATTATATATACATAAGCCTTCGTGTACTTCTGCGCTTTTGTTTATTTGTAACCTCCTGATAATCCCTTCCCCCACTTCAACCTTCTGCACTCTGATGTGATCTTCAAGACTTAAATTTTTGTCTGAATTAATACAGAATATAATGATCACAAGGTAGTTTTAAAATGGTTATGAACATATATAAAAAACAAATAACATGCACCTTTAATTGGAGTATAGTGGTTATTCTGAAAGATCCTCTGGTCAGAGTTTTCTCCCCCTTAAGAATTCTGTACTGACTAGGAGACACAAATCCGCCTGTGTGCTTAAAAATTAGGCTTTTTTTTTTCTTTTGAAAGATTTATTTATTTATTTGAGAGAGTGAGTGAGCATGCTCATGTTCGTGCACAAGCAGGGGGAGGGGCAGAGGGAGAGAGAGAGAATCTATAAGCAGACTCCCCACTGAGCACGGAGCCTGATGTGGGGCTCGATCCCAGGTCCCTGAGATCATGACCTGAGCTCACCTAACCAACTGAGCCACCCAGGCACCCCTAGGCTTTTTATGTAAATGTATCAGTTATGTTTTTTATATAAATTATCCAGCTAGGGGTTGAGTGCTTTGGGGTTGAGTGCTTTGAGGATAGATAAATCAGACACAGAAGGTAACCTTAAGAATGCATCAGAAAGGGGGCAGCCTGGGTGGCTCAGCTGTTTGGGTGTCTGACTCTTGATTTCAGCTCAGGTCATGGTCTCGGGGTTATGGGGTGAAAGCTCGCATCGGACTCCTCGCTCAGCGGGGAGTTTGCTTGGGATTCTCTCTCTCTCCCTCTCCCGCTGCCCCTCCCCACCTCTCTCTCTCAAAATAAATAAATAAATCTTAAAAAAGAAAAAAAGAATCCATCAGAAAGCCTTGAATGCAAAAATAAAGAATATGCCATCACAGCTGTACTTTGGGAAGATTAATCTGACAGCAAAAAGGTGTACCAAAGAAGAGATCAAACAACAAAGGATCAGTAAAGGATATGTTGCATCTGTCTAAATATAATATGTATGCCTTGCCTGCTGACTCGATATAGGAGGGGAGAGAGAGAGAGGAGATGCAGGTGGCTCGTTCAATGGAGATACCATTACTAAAAATTAGAATTTTTTGTAGATGAGTATATGTGAAAAGACCAGGATCTGAATTGGAGAAGGAGATTCATAGTGAAGTTTGAAATGCTGGTAAAAGTGTGTGCATGGTCCTAACGAGGAAGCTGACTCCAGAGAGATTAGGGCCAAAGAGATTTAGGTGTCATCCATAGGAAGATGGCAGTTGGAGCCAGGAGCTGGCCAAGGCAGAGAATCTAGAGAACAAATTGTTCTAGGGCAGATCCTTGGGGAGTATCTTTGTTCATGTGGGAGAACAGTGAGTAAGAGAAGAGCGGTAGACATGATGTGATCAGAGAGGTAAGAAAATAATCAGAAAATAAAGACATGAAAACCAAAGAAGGGGCCATTAATTTCAAGAGAACAATTGGTGAGAAGTGTCAAGCTAGTGAAAGGGACAGATCAGAAGAGGAAAAATTAGTGGATGTGGTCATGGGTAGGTCATTGGTGGTGGAAGACTGAAGAAGTAAGATTGAAGTAAGGATTCTTTAGGGCAGAGATCTTTGAGCATACCTTGGATAAAGTGAAAACCACATACTCGGAGAGAGAGAGAGAGAGAGAGATTGAGATGCAAGAGAATGGGACAGCAAGAGTGAGGGAGGGAGCGAGGGGGTGTAGCACAGGAGGAATTGAGGCCCAGGTCGGGGGAGCTGCAGGGTGGCTAGCTGAGTGAGTGCCTGACAGAACTCATGTCAGATGGCCTTCGGCTGCTCATGGTTTACCGAGAAATCAATCTCCTGAGTTTATGGATAACATGTGGCACTTCTTCTGGGGCCTCAATAAACGAAAGTGTTACACATCTGCATTGGGCCCTAAATTCACTTTGAAACCATCATGGCCTGTCAGGAACTATAATCTGTATTTGCAACCAGAACAACTGAAGTGAATTTAAAATATTTGCTGGAATGTAAATATTTTACTTATTCTACATTAGTCTAACTTAGGTAGACTCGACTGTAAGGTTTCTACTTAAGGTGACCATGCATTTTCCTGGTCTTACACACTAGGCCCTGAAGGACTGGGTTTCACTGTGGTTACCAGAGACTCTTCCATACACGGGCCTGGTCCCATTTTTGTAAAAAACATTTTACCAAAGGGAGCAGCAATAAAAGATGGCCGCCTACAATCAGGGGACAGAATTTTGGAGGTAAGAATTGGAATTAATATACTCAATAAAATAGCCTTGGGGTTTAAATAAATATGTTAATATTTATATTTTGAACATAATATATTGAAAATTATCACTTGTAGACAAGATAAGGACTTTAATTGTGGAAAAAAAAAAAACAACAGTTAATGGGAAGCCTAACTTCTAAGTTCCCCATAAGGCCAGCAATATAAGGACAAGTAACACTGCAAACTTTTCCCTATCTTCTCTGCCTTACTTCCACCTCTTAGGGTCCCTGTGGAATTTGAATCAAATCTAGGAAGTCATCATAAATGCAGTTAGGGCTAAGAATTTCAGATTGATAGCCAAACTCTGGTAACAGTTTCTTTAAACTTCTCATAGGGCTGGGCCAGCCTGTCTCCTGTTGATCTGTACCTATAAAGAAGTATTTGGAACTACCCAAAGCGAGAGGCTTTCCCCCCATGTATTTTTGTTCGGTAGCATTGTCTTCTTGGCTAAATATATATTATCAACTTACCTTTCAAGAAATCTTCCTCACTGAAACTGGCTGGTACAATTTAACTTTTTCATGGCATGGAAGCAACACTATAAATTTTTATATAATTCTAGATTTTGAAAGAAGATGTATCAAATGACTAATACAGCTCTAAATTATAATTTCTAATAATCTATGATAACCAGGAGACTATAACTTTCTAAACATGAAGAACACTGTTTAATTATAACAAAAGACTTTGGCTGCCAAAGGAATTTGCCACGTGATTATGGTCCATTTTTTGTTTTTTTGTATTAGGCAGAAAATGTTTCCAGGTCAGCATCTGAAATCCACTTCTTTTTAAGGAATTATTTTCTGCTGTCAGTTTGATGTCCCCCTCATAAGAATGTGATATCTTAGGAGAAACTGCTTATACTTATTACTGACGATCTGAAATGATCTAGCACCATAATAATGATGGCCAGTGTAGTACTGGTCCTTTGAACATAGTTGGTTTGGGTCCATGTGTTCAGTTTTCATCTTTTCAGAGCTTTATTCATTGTAGGAGCCCACTTACTACTTACTTTCAGAAATCATCTAGCATAGAAAGAAGATGGGGAGTGTTATAATCTGTTCATATGATGGCATCCATTAGGTAAATGGCAGAGATGTCACTGGGCGAACTCAGGAAGAGCTTGTGGCCATGCTGAGGAGCACCAAGCAAGGAGAGACCGCATCGCTGGTCATCGCCCGTCAAGAAGGAACTTTTCTTCCCCGAGAGCTGGTAATGTTCAGGTCACAGTCCCACTGAATCTTCAATGCAGAGTTTTTAATATACTCAGTAAATTCATAGTAGCTGAGAGATGAGTTCTAAGTCACAGGTTTCATTTGTAACAAGAACTGAATCACACTAAAAGGTTTTTTTTGGTCCCATTTGGGGGTGTCATGGCTTTACAGTATCAATGCAGTGAGTTGGACATATGCCAACAGTGCTTCCCGGGATACAAATTCAAGCACCCTTTTAAGGAAGCAATTTAACAATATTCAACTAAATAAAATATACTTTGAGTGTTATGCTATATGTTAGCTTTATGCAAAACACAGTCAGCAAAAATGGTCGTTCACCACCTTAATGCAGTTTGCAGTCTAAAAGGAAATAAAATATAACCAAGTCTTCAAAATGGTGATGAAGGTGATGAAAAAGAACTGCAGGGTGCTATAGGAACATGTCACAAGGGCGTTTAACCTAGTCATGAGGGCTGGGAACGGTACCCTGAGGAAGAGAGTTCCGAAAGTCTTGTGAAAATGTATGTTCTTTGACCTACTAACTATACTTCTAGTAATCTGTCCTAAACTGATCATCAAAGATGTGGAAAAAATTCATGTACATTGATTTTTTTTCTCAAGTCCTATTTATTTTAGTGATCTATTGGACGCTGTACGACTGTGAAGTATTGGTTAGATAAATAACTAGATAGCTCTCCAATGAAATGTAATAGTTACTTAAAATGGTCTTGGGGATGAACTGATAATAACATGAGAAAACGTTCATAGAGCATTAAGAAAAAAAGTAGTTTATAAAATGATATAGGCAGCATGATCAGATTACATTAAAATATCTTAATAAAAAGAAAAAAAAAACCAAAGAACCGGCAGGAGATGCACCCAGAAGGTTGGGATTATGAGACATTTTAATTTTCTCATTTTTAAAATAATGAACACCTATTATTTTATTATTGACATGTATTTAAGAAAGCTATAGAAAAATTTAAAGGACTTTATGGCTAATAACAAAAAGGATTTTTAATTACCCCTTTTTAAAATTTTATTTCTTTTGAATCTATATAAGAAATGACAAAGGTACATATAGGTAATAAGGTAGGTTCCCAGAGTTAGATCATCAGAACTAGTGAGGGTTAGTTGAGAAAACTGACTGTAGTTAGCTTGAAAAAGAGAAAGTTTAGGACACATTTTTATTGCTATCAAGTACATAAGGAGTTTTTGTATGGATCAAAAAAGTAGACTTAATATATTTCTTCAGGTTCTATCCATTAGCGTACTTATGTATTAATCTGACTAACAATTTACTAAATACATGCTGTGCACTAAGTTGGAGGTTGTGGGGATACAAAAATAATTAAGACTCATTTCCTGCCCTCCTTGAGCTGGTACCAGAACAAATATTTGGAACTGATAATGTTACAAGTTACAATAGTTTCTAACTGTTGGAGCTGTCCAAGAAGAAAACGGGCAACTTAGAGTGTTGGAACAGAGCCAAGCTCACCATCTGTCAGAGATGCTCTAGAAAAAATTCTCCCATTGATACGGTGATAAGAGTAGATAAATTCTGAGATATCTGCTGTAAGCCTAATATTATGTTATCTATGCTTATATTCATGTTTGAATATACAACCTTCCTGAAACACCTCTCTCATTTATTAATGCTCCTTAGTACTGACCAAAGGACCCCCTTCCCACCATGTTTCTGGTCCTTCCTTCTCCTTCCCATCATCTTGTCCATTTTTCCCCTTGCCCTATTGAATGCTCTGGGAAGATTTGCAGTAAAACAGTAAAGGGAAGAAGATTAGGTGGTATGAGCCGTAAAGACTATACTCCTCGCCTGCTTTCCTCTTCTTGACTCCTCCATTGCCAGCCATTTTGGAAGGCAGAATCTTGAATTTCCTTCTCATTTCCTCACTTAAGCTCCTTACTCTTCCTAAAAAGAAATGCTGCAGAAACTTAGAGTCCAGATTTTTTTCCTAAAATGCAGATGGATTTTTCTTTCAATCCTTTATTTATCCAAACACCTTGGTCTTTCTCTACAGGGGTCACAGTGAGAAGAAACAATTAGAAAGAGGCAGCATGTACATATGACAGGAAGCCCTTCACTTCTTATCCAACTTTTTGGTTGCTAAAGATAAAACTCTTAGAAAACTTTGGTGGGACTATGTGCTTGTGTTAAGGATAAGAGAACAAGGAAAGAAGTTTTTTGTTTTTAATTTTATTTTATTACGTTATGTTAATCACCATATATTACATCATTAGTTTTTGATGTAGTGTTCCATGATTCATTGTTTGTGTGTAACACCCAGTGCTCCATTCAATGCGTGCCCTCTTTAATACCCATCACCGCCCTCCCCTCTAGAACCCTCAGTTTGTTTCTCAGAGTCCATAGTCTCTCATGGTTCGTCTCCCCCTCCGATTCCCCCCCCTTCATTTTTCCCTTCCTACTATCTTCTTTTTTGTTTTTAACATATAATATATTATTTGTTTCAGAGGTACAGGTCTATGATTCAACAGTCTTACACAATTCACAGCGCTCACCATAGCGCATACCCTCCCCAATGTCTATCACCCAGCCACCCTATCCCTCCCACCCCCACCACTCCAGCAACCCTCAGTTTGTTTCCTGAGATTAAGAATAAGGAAAGAAGTTTTGACTGTGTATTCTGTTGAACTATGGTCCTGGAATGAGTGAAACCCTGCCTAGAAAGAGAAACATTCCATGGGTACCTGGGTGGCTCAATCAGTTAAGCATCTCCCTTCAGCTCAGGTCATGATCCCAGGATCCTGGGATTGAGCTGCTATGGGGGGCTCCCTGCTCAGCAGGAAGTCTGTTTCTCCCTCTCCCTGTGCCCGCCCCCCCCCACCCCGGCTTGTGCGAGTGCTCTTCTCTCTCTCTCAAATAAATAAATAAAATCTTAAAAAAAAAAAAAGGAAGAGAAAGGAACATTCTAGCCAACAGAAGAACCTAATAACAGAGCTCCAGCTGAGAACTCATATACCCTCATGAGGCCTCAGTTTCCCATCTAATAGTTCCTTTTACCCCTTTCCCTGTGTCTTCTAGAATTCATGTGTGTGTGTGTGTGTCTGTGTCTTCTAGAATTCTTAACTTCACAGCTATTCCTTCGTTCTAGAAGCTCCCCCTGCCCCGCTCCCAGGTAAGGGGGAGAGGGATGTGACTTTATCCTGGTTGAAATTCTGAATGCATTCTCAATCACAGACAGTTGCAGCTGGAAGTTAATGAATGTAAAAATAGAATTTTCAAAGTAAAGGGGGCTGAAAGAATCAGTATATCCAAATCTAATTTGCAGATGAGTAAAGAGGTTCAGTGTGGTGAAGTAACCTGTTGATGGTCCTGCATTGCTCAGGAACTGTAGGCATCGGTTTCTTAACGCTTTGTGCATTATCTCTGGAGTTCAGCTCTGGAAGTTCCGCATCACACAATGTTTCTGTGTGATCTAGAGCAGCTCACAAAATCATTCTAAGGCTCATTTGACTCATCTTTATCATAAGATTGTTGTGAAGATTAAAAGAGATCATATATGCAAAGCTCTTGGCATAGTTCCTGGCCAATTATAAGTTCTCAATATATGTCAGCTATAATCATTCTAGTACCTTGCCACTTCTGTAGTATTAAATACAATAAAAGCACAATACTAAACTTTAGATACCTTGTGGGGAAAATAGATCTATTCAGGCTTGCCTGGGACTGACTAACCATTATTTTGACCATTGATTTTTTAATTATTATTTTAAAATACATACTGGTGTCCAAAATACTGAATTATAAAATAGAGAAAAAAATTTTTTTTGGCTTGAAACTAAATCCATAAGTCAGGCAGCCTATATGTATTAGTTCACTCTCATTTAGTAGAATTTAGTGAAATTTGATTTCTATCCCAAAAAGTGACATCATAGGCCAAGCCCCCCAGGGAGCATATTAAGTTAATTGTGCAACTGTGAGATTATGAGTGCCAATAAATTATTTGTTCTCATTGTTTTTAGTTTTATACCAAATTTGGAAGTCATGTGGTTAGTATCCCTTCTCCTAGAATTCTCTGGCAAACAGTCTAGACTCTTTAAAAAACATTTGACTTCTAATTATCTAAATATGTGGAATATTCTTTGTAACCACAGCAAAGCAAGGCCTTTGAGGATTACAAGCACCGAAGTAATGTAGACCCGGAATCCTTGTTTTGAAGAAATATGCAATAGTCGTCTTTGTCCAGCCCAAATGCCTTCCTTGAGTGCTAAGTGGCAAGAACCATTCAGGAAGTTTAAAGAGAGGTCACGTTTGGCACGCACAGCACTGTTTCACTGTGAATCACTTCATAGGGTGACACGCACGGGACTATTTGAAAGAACAGAAAGAAGAACAGTATGCTATGTGACGCATCTCTGTATTTTTCTTTCAAAAAAAATGAAGGTGTCACCACTTTGGTCTCTCCTACCTTATCGTGACTGAGGCACACACTTAACTTCCATTGAAAATCTGGCAGGATGAAGGAAGGACACCACTTCCTGCTTTTGTCTTGTTCTATCTCCTTTGAAGAAAACAAACAGTGGTTATTGTTTTCCTGTTCTGAGAAACCGTCCTCTCCCTTCTCTCAAGCCTTGCTGTTTCAGGAGCTGGATCCCCTCTGAATGGCACTGCTCTGCCTGGTTTCCGACAGTTAAATCTTCCTTACTTCCTGCTTATCTTCGCTCCTTGTAAAGTCTTAACACTTAGAGCCCAGGGAGCATGTGGTCAGCAGTTATACAGGAAGTCCCAATATAGGATGGTCTCTCTCAGATGTGACCCTCTGTCATTGCAGAGGCCTGAGCACCCATTTCCTGGTTATTTCTCCCGACCTGCCATGGGAGGGCTGGGCTGACTTCTTTCCATGTCCTTCCTCCTGAGCAACTGGTTAGTATCACAAATGCAGCGGTGCATTTAGCCAACCTTCATTCCATCGGCGGCAGGCTGGGATGAACATCAAATTGAGAGGAATTCATGTACTA